TTTAGCACATCATCCACCTGGTCAAACTCTTCCGCCATACAAATGGCTGCATCAGCGTCCACTGCACTGCAACAACAACATCGTCAAGTTTGAGCCACAAATGAACGAGCAAGGAAGGCAATTCGCGCTTTACTTACTGGGAGTGGAGGCCCCGATTCAAAACACACAGTTAAAAGTGCAGAACGCATTTATGATGTGTCAAACTGTACTGAATAAGGAATTACTTCTTCAAAAGAAAGCTGTTTCAGTAGCATTTCGTAAAAGAGGAGGGATGTGTGAGAACGACATAAGGTGAATAGCGTCAGGGGCATGTCTTATTATACATGATACCTAATTCCAATCTTCTTACTCCATTATTGAAGTGAATGGAAAAGAAACGATGGGAAACAGTGGTAGGCGCTGTTCCATCAGAAAGACATTTTGAAAGGATAACCTAAGATCTGTGTCCCTTACACATCGCAGAAAATGATAAAAATAAAAGCTTTTTTTTAAAAAAGATAAATATAAAACAGTCGTATTTTTCTTGATATAAATATTTATTGTAAAGGGTGAGCCGTTTCCATAAATCGCTCCTCATGAGAAATGGAAGCTGCACAAGTGGCAGTGAACAGTCGACGAATTCCGCCCCCAATTTCCCCTCAGAGAAAATGAGTTACAAGGAGAATAACTGGAAGGCCAACCTTGTGGTGCCAGCGCTGATGAATTTCTTTTGCACGGCAGTGATCCATTCATAGCCACCTTCAATACCAAGTTCACGGAACGCAGCATGCCGAGCGCGCCACTCATCGTCCAACGCAAAATTTCTCGATAGTAACTGACGAGCAGCTGTGAACAGGCGCCGTGGAGCGTGGCAAACACGCCGCACTGAACGACTAATGAACATGGATCACTTACGGGTCACGTTATAGCTGAATCCTTCGAGATAAGTCACATTCCCTGCGACTGTATTTCGATAAAAGAACGCTCTTGCTACAGCAACGAAATCTGCAATGATCGATAAATTTCACGCTATCGTTTTAATGAATTCCAGCTCCCTCAGCCACTTAAGCTTCTCCCAAAGTTCACTGCCCTACCTCCAAACATCCTCAATATCCATCATCTAGATATCCATCGAACTGCAATAATAAAATAAGCTCTCAACCGTCGCATCAGTTTCATGCTTCTTCCTCCTGAAAGCCTATTCTACTTCCCAGAAAAGTGAAATAAAATATAAATCACTAGCCATGAGAGCCTTATATACTACCCCCCATGTGCCATGAGAGCCTTATATACTACCCCTGTTATGGTGGTTTTTTACTATGTCTTTCATTAGTGTTTTCTGGCAATTCTGCGTTTAAAAAAACAATACCGCGGAAAATTTTTACACGATTAACCTCAACTGAACTACTATGAGCAATAGTCAATATGTTCGATAATATGGGAAATTAGGGATCATAAAGACATAAGCAGGACCGTCATACATCCAGCACTGCTGTACAGAAGAATGAAGGCCGTGAAATAAACGATGAACGAATCAAAATACCCCGACTACTTCGATCACAGCAGAGTGGGATGGTTGCCGGCTTAGTACAGAGGAGCACTACAACTCACCGAAGTATGCGATAAACCGCGCAGCGCAACTACTCCATACCTCTCAATTCCGTAATGTCAATCATAAACTGCCAGCACCCAGACTGATGAAAACAAGTCTTCCCCTTGCCCTGCTCTTACTCCGCGAATTGAAAAAATCTGCCCGCTCTATGAATTATCCCGACGACAAATTGGTAGTGGCGCATGCAAAGAAGTCCATGTCATTATCAGCCCACCCACAAACAACTTCTGTAGGCAAAAACCGTCGGTATGTTTCGCAGCGTTAGGCGCAATTGATAATGTACTACAAACTGAACCATTTCTGTATACCTTCGCTTTTACCAAGGAGTGCAAACAAAATTTCTGTGCCCTGTAATATGAATTTCAATGAAGCAAGCAGAACATGGCAAACCGGAAGCAGTTAATTCAACACTCTATCAGATACCGATTTATCACTACAATTCACAGCAAGTGGAGCAGCGAGACAAGTTTATAGCACAGGTCATAAATTAAAGAATTATGCTGTAGTTCAATGACCATAACCGAAAACAAGTAACAAACTCAAAGCGATCACAACAAAGATGACGAAATTTTGAGAATTTAATTCGCCGCACTGTGCGAATTGAAGAGGGGCGGGAGATGTGGGAAAAGGGGAGGGGGATAAGTTTTCATACATCTATGACTTGAGGTCAAAATCTGTTCTAAATTATGGGCGAAAAAAGCCATAGGTATCAGAGATTGTTACATCTGGTGCAAAAATAAGATCGATGGCGATGTGTAAGAAAGCTCTCAAATTTTGTTGGCCATTTTGTTCTCGTAGTGACTATCCATAACGGTTGCCAATGCCACTTCTAAATGCTCCGTCTCGGTCGTTGTATTGCTATCCGTGAAGCATCCCAGTTTATGCAACAAGCGTTTCTTCATCACTAGCCACAATGACACCTGAAAATACTGCTTTGTAGCAAAAAAATTGGCACTAAACATATTTTTACTGAAAATTTGTTCCCATAACGAAGAAGGAGAAACTATGAATGTTATCACGAGAAATTGGTCATGGAGTGGGAAGAGAGGAGGGAAACAGTAGAGGGAGGAGCAGAAAAAAATAAGGTAAAGGAAGAGGCGAGACGAGGGAGGGAAGTGGGGAAAGCCATAGGTGCTGTTGGAATGAAAAAGGAGAGGAATGTAATTTTTAAATGCAAAAAAGAAAAAACAGACTTTCTTTTCGCGATTTTCCTGCACAGCTTTGATGCAAAACTCCAGCACAGCGCACAGAATGGAAAGGATTAATCCAATGAGCTGAAAGATTAAGCATTGGATGCAAAAACGTAGTAAAAGATAACGGGGAGCGTCCATTTGCTTTCAGCGACGCCAAATGGAAGACGCTGAAAGAAGTACATCTTGCAGCAGGGCGCTAACAACATGTACCACATCTCGCTATGAACACTGGAATGCAAAGCGATCAGCTAAAAGTCACTGAAAAGGATTTAAAACGGACATCACCCAGATTTGAGGAACTCAAATTCGAATTCCTATCCTATCCTCATCAAGATCCTTCGCACATGTTAGACTCTGAGAATGGCAGCTACTCGAAAAAAGAATGTATTCAAAGCAGAAAAACTTACCAAAAAAAGAAATATGCCATAGAGAGAGTAGTTTTCTAAGTCGCGCGCATCTGTTTTAAGTTTATCGCACTGCCCCGCACCTTTCTTCCACCATTTCTCCTTCAATTCGGTGAGCACTGTTTTCTCCTGTAGCTGGAGGATTGTTTTGGAGATCGGTTCACGGAATGGAGATCCTTGAAACAATACATGAAATTAGGCGCAATCAAATTCATCGTTATCATGTTCGAAATAAATGGCCAGCGCACGGGCTGCCCGTGCGAAGATGCGTTTTTTGCAGACTTCCCCGCAGGTTTTTGTCGCTACCGGCATCAGTTTCTCGGCAAATGCTTCTAGCTGAATTTCAGACTGGCCACCAGAACTGTCGGGAAAAATCCCCTCGAAATTCCAATCTTCTAGCTTCTCACGTTCTCGAGTAATT